CGTTTTAACTTTAACTATAAACTATTTCCGCCTAAGTTTCACTGGTCAAAGTTATTGTTTTACTATGCCAAGAAAGAGAATGGTGCAACATTTTCCACAGTTAATGTTAAAATTTGATATGAACCTTAACTTTAACTGCAATTATGTTTCAACCGTGGTTTTGAGGGTTAGTTGCACCAACTTACTTTAACAATAACAAACATGTTAAAGTACAGGTTAAGCAAATAATTATGAGTTATCATTTGGTTGGCTATGGCTGGATAACGTCATAACTTTAAGTGTAGACTATAACCGCCTAAGGGCCGGTTTTTTGATCCGTAGTTAACTCGGACAATTATTAAAAATCTTCGACAATTAGTTAAATATAAAAAAAATATGCTTTTTTATCAACAGCTAACCTAACCAATTGTCAGAATTACAACTATTGGTCAAAATATTTAACCATAGGTTAAGTAAATGACCAATGGTTAAAAGAACAGATGTGCAACTGAGTTGCACCTTGATATTTTTTTTTTTTGTTGTTTTTATAACCTACAAGATTCAGAGTAAATTTTGACATTAGTTATTCGTGGGATTTCGTTTTATTCTGTAATTTCATAGGAAAATATTCGTTGTCATATTTGGGACTTGGATTATTGAAAATTAAGTTATATTTTTATCTTGATCAACCTTAGTATATTTGTACTACATAATATATAAAATCATTTGTTTTCTTATTGCCAAGGACATATATCTATGTCAAATTATTTAAAAAATGATCAAATCCACGAATAGACAATACAAAAGTAAAATATGCCAACAGTATTTAAAATACATATTCTCCTATTTATTTTTCAACATTACACCCACACTCGCACATTCCCACCTTGTACACTTGATACTATATTTTTTTTACGTATTTTTCCATAAGATAAAGATAAGCTTAAAAAGAGACAAATAAATTGGCTTTTAAAAAGTTAAGTCTAATATAACTCAAAAATTTTTTCTTTGTTGCTTTCTTGCTAACGAAATATATTGCCTTTTATTTTCTGAAAAATAACACATAGTGTGCACAACACAACAACCATACATATCCACAATGTTAGGTAACCGATTTCTTTTGTCTATTTCATATTTGGAACAAAATCCGAATGTCAAGAATGGTATATAGTTCGCGCCATGTATTCGAAACGTTAGTGTCGACACCCACAAAAAATTATTGGCTATGGTTTAATTTGACATCAAAACAATGAACAGGTTATAACTATGGTCAAGTTAACAAATGGTAAATAGAAGGCTATCCCTTACTATTTTTTGTTTTTAAAAAACTCGATGTCGATTTTCTGTGAGCGCAGTAATAAAATAACGCCTGGTGTACACAGGGCTCTGACAGTTGATGTCACCGCTGCAGGCGATATGAAATCAAAAAATGTTTCTCTCCGAAACATTGACGGCAGTATGAACAAAAAATGCTTCGATGCTAAAATCTAATTTTTGTGTATTTTAATTTGAATTTTCACGAACATATGCACAAAACAAACGAGAGAAGACTATACGAATTCGTAAATAAAACTGTATGCTGGCACAGGTCCTGGTGATGTTCATATGTTCTTTCAATTGTATATCAGAGTTTCTGTCGCGTTTACTGCATGCATGATCTAATCTATGTTGTATTTTTTGTTCTTCTTATATTTTAATTCACTGTGCTCTGTTCACAATTCGCCATGCTCTGTCCTATCTAACTCATTGCCGGTCACAATAAGATAGACAGGGAGACTACTCTTGCAATCAGCCTTAAACGAACTTTATGCTGCTCTCTGACACTTCATTAGATAGGTATACAAACTTTACAAAATTTTACTCACAGCTCGAATTCAACTTGCGCCGCATTATTTTCTTGCTCGTAATAAATTAAAAATGTTATTTTGAAAATATATTCACCAATATTTATAACAGAATATTGTTTGTCAACGCTCAACGCTATAACGGTCGTAGTAAACATACACCTTTAAGCCTTTTATAAACTTTAAATGTTTGCTAGTTTATATCCTTGTTTTACAAAACCCAAAGCTTGAGAGCTTGATATTCTAACAGTTACACACGAAAATAGATAACCTAGCAGCCAGATCTGGTTTGAGGTGTTACAGAACTTTCTCTAATGCCGCCAATACCGAGGAATCTCGTTTAATTTACTGACTGGATTAGTCCTGCTCATATGTACAGGGATTTCGAGATCTTGATATTACATTCACTGAGAATTCAAGATGTATACTCTAATAATTAGATACATATGTCTTCTTCTCATTTGTAAACATAATTTTTCAACAAACAAAAAACAACAATTTATAAAAACAAAACGTGTCAGATTTCTGCAAATACTGTCTATTATTTACATGTGATAACTAGCTTACTACGTTCTTTTATTGAAAATAAGCATTTAACCAAAGGTACTCTCTATACTAATATTATAAAGAGGGAAAATATATTGTTTGTTTGCATTTTATAGGCTCAACAACTATGCGTTCCTTTTTAAAAAAAATCTTACACCTACGAGAAGCTACTTCGTACGCAGGTGACATTGGTTAAAATTTACTCCGGCGAAGTCGAAAAAAAGCATCAATTTACTTATCTGAAGAAACACAGAATTTGTAAACTTTGTCACAAAATCATGGTTCTCAAAATAATGGACGTAGTCGCTAAATATGGTCTGTAAATTCAAATAGAAAATATAATATTTTCATATCTCATTAATAACAAAACTCTTACCAGTAGACCTTGTCCCAACTTGATGGTTCTTTTCTAGATATTTGCGACATCAATTTCCGTACATAGGTACGTCGTATCGTATTTCACTTGGAAAGCACTCGATGGTTCGTGAAGAGCCATTGGCGGGTAAATATTCTCGAATAAAATTAAGACACCGCCTGAGCTCTCATTCTGATAACGAAATAAAATTCATACTTGCACGTATTTGTGACCCGGTTCTAACATAATAAATAACTGGGTTAAATTAAAACTGAAAGTTTATCTCATAAAAAATTAAGAGCAACCGATAAAAGTAGTAAATTTTTTCTCAGAATAAAAAAGTCATAGATTATGTATTATTTTTTCTAACTAAAAAGAGGGTAGGCGCCTTGATAGTTCTTACGTAAGTTTACAAAAAAGTCCCTTAAGTTGAAATTGGAACTAAAGAAAAATGACATTTTTTTATTATTTCCTTAGGTCGTGCAATTCTTTATTTTTCTTGCATATAGGGTCAAAAACGGGAAAATTTCATTTTATGTAACAAATGCATTGCCGCCAAACTAAAGGGCCTCATTTTTTAAATAAAAAAAACAATAAATCATTAAAAACTTAAATGAAGTGTTTGGTATTAAAATTTTATTATTTCTGCTGAACACTCAGTGCGCTAGAGCGACTTACTCTTGGTGTTTATTTAAATTTAAGTGTTAAATGAAACAATCACTACGTCACTGCTTTGATAAGTTACCAAATTGAACTGAAAAATAACTGGTGCTGTGAAACTTCCATATTTTATCATATTTTGGTATGTATTATTTTCATGTATGTTGTGCACCGTTTTCTCCGCGAATTGTAGACAAATTTTTATAATTCTTATTATTTTTTAAGAATACATTTAAATTGAAACAGTATCGACACTACCTGATGCAACGGCAGCAACTAGTAGTAGCACTCGCACGGTCGCCGGTGCGCATACGCCCGTTTCTCTCGGCGAGGGGCATGACGCGCGCTCATATACTGAACGCGCTCTTATCGTAACCAGGTAGGTATTAGATAAATGGGCCAAGATAAAAAATGACTAATAAGAACATGACTATTCACTCGGAATCAAACTTAAGATAACGATAATTGTTTCTCTGTTCCATTTATGGATAGCTGGGAAAGATGTGGAGAATATGGAATTTAAAAAGATACCATAAATTTACTGTACCGCCTATTTAATCGAATTACTCGTATATTTTGTCTATAATAACTAGAGAAAATATTACAATGTCACATATATTAGAATGTGATTCAATATGGTATTTATTTAGAGATGAATCTCTATTTCCCTTGGTCACGCCATCACATGTGAACGGCTGAAACGATTCCGCTAATTCTTTTCTTTTATTATTTGTTAATGTCATAAGAACCTTCTTATGAAGGAAAAAAATTGTGTGAAAAACTAACCCTAGTGCTTTGGATAATATAAAAATTTCACCTTCACCTTATGACGTTTTACATAGAATAGACTGAATGCTTGCCGCAAATATCGTTAATTAGGATGTGATAAACTGAATATTGTTCAAAATTGATTAAGAAAAACGTCTGTCAGGTCAGCTAGTTTATTTATAGTGTTATAGCGACAACTATTAAAAAAAAACTGTTTCTTTTTATTGATAAACAAAATGTAGATTCATAAGAACAAAATTATCACCATTTCTATGATAAATATCAAGAGAGAAGATAAAAATAAAAATATTGTAAATTGACTACGTACCAACAAATAAGACAGGAACTTGCTTGTAATAAGTAGCTATATTTTAAGATATATGTATATTTGTTTTCATACTCGTTTGCCAAAGCTGTAAAATAAATTCTGTGTGTATCATCGCTGTCCATCAGTGGCAGAAACTTGGTATTATTTTATTTCATTTATAAACTGCAAACGTGTCCGTTCCATCGCAGTCTAATGTGTATGAATTTTAAAAGTCAGTTTTGTGAAGCTCGTTCTTTTTTTTATCGTATTTTTACTCCTAAATCCGGCTCTGTGTATTGTTACTATTGAGCTTAAATAAAATTATGTATTAATTGTTGTTTTCATTTTAGGTTTTCCCTTTATTCCAAAGATTTCAATGGAAAACTAAATTAGTAGCTTAAAATTTCCCAACTGCCAAGTCAACCGGCATCGGCAGTGCATACACGAAAGTGTACAAAAGAAATTTTAGGATGTTTTTGTTTGAAAACATTACGAAATTCAATTGTTTGTTGTTTCGTTGCAAGTGTACGGTAGGACTTACCCACTAAAGCCTCGTCGCTGTTTGCCCGGGCTGGCAGCGCTGACGCTCGCGCCAGGATCAGAGTTGGATGCATCTGTTGAAATAAAAACATTTGATAATACAAATAGAATTTCGACAACAGTAAATGTAACAAATTAAATTAAGCTTATCCGAAATCTGAATACAAATTATACTAATTAAATGGCAAATGATTTAACATCACATAAAACGCCGATACAAGTACGTTCTTATGTGGATGATGATGTAGATTCGATAATACGAGTGCCAGGGACACCTTGCTCAAACTAATTAATAGCAAAATAGCCGATGTACACCGGGGTGCGTGCGCCGAGGCAATGCTATTACCAAACGGCACACATAAACTCACAAAACGTCACCTACCAGGTAAACATAAAACTTGTTATTACGTTATACAACCACTAGTAGAATTAGTTTTGTATAATAGTATGTGAATGAACATAAGCGTTTTTTATGCCTGACCCAAGTATGTTACTTGTGTCATAGGCTAAAGTATCATCTGTATAAACATTGCGTGCAACTACTATTTTACTGACCATATCAAAATTCAGAGCTGCCTCTTTATAGAGCCATAATCAAAGAGCGAGATAAACATTTGATTCCGTTATCCTGCAGTTCAAGTAACTGTTGTGAAACCTATCACCGCGGTCGTGAGGAGCACTCCAATCGATTACAAATATGCATGAGAAGCTAATTTGAGTTCTTATCGGTATCTTCGGCCGGTTGGTTGGTGTTAACTAAGCTGTAACTAATTCCTAGCCAACAGCGGAAAGGCGCGTGATACGATCGGTGTACAGAGTACCTACGCTATGAACGGTATTATCGTCATGTCATTCGAAATCCTTGCTTATTTAGACCGATACTAGATAACACATAGATGACGAATAATGAAAGTTCAGACTTCCGAATATTCAAACATTCATAGGAATGTTAAAAACTTTTACTAAAATGTAAAAGTTTTAAAAAAAGAGGAATAAGGGAGTACGGAATTTTGCACTGAACAGAATCACGTTGGAAATACTATTTGGTAATATATATTTATAAGTATTATGTGGAAAAGTAAATATAAAGACTATTGGGTAGACATCAGGATATCAAGAGAGTACCTGCGAGAAATAGCAGTGCCTGATAGCACCAGGTGCAGAGAAACATGTCAAGCTTAGCCGCCGACCTCAGGACTGACTGAAGAGAATCATGTGCGTTCGTTCATACGGGACGTACTATACTAGGGTTGCCCTATCTTCTAGCTATAATTTCAGATAATTAGATTTCCCAAAAAAATATGTCTTTTTTTATATTGTGGAATCGGAAATTATGGACAATAGATGTGCACATCAAACATTACCTTTAAATAAGACTTGCTATTTCAATTGCCATTTCAATTTTGAGATAATAATCTTATAAATTCTAGCGGCAATCAAAAAATCTACTCAGGTTATAATATATTGAAACTGCGGAACATAAATATAATGTGAATTTATATTTTCGCCCGTGTTATTCTTATCATCATAGTTGTTTATGCAATGTTATGGCCCCAATATTGGATTAAAAATAATTCGTGAATGTGTCGCCGAAGTCGGTGTGGCGGCATGCCTAAGGTCCTAATGAACTGAAATCAGTGTTCCGTGAGATCGGGCTCGGCTTTCGCCGCTCGGCGCCCGCTGAACGTTCATATCGATTCCCGGATGGGAACCAGCCATCGACACAGATCTTTCAACAACTTCATTATAAAAGTCTTTACGAAATTACTTAATTAATGATCCAAATTAGAGGCAAAAACGATAAAAGTACACTAACTAGAGGTAAATAAATTTTAGGATTGAACGTTAGACTAAATCGAGAAAATGCCTGTATGGACCTAAAATTAAAACCCAGTGACGAGTGCGATTGTTGTTTGTGTTTTGCTGTGTCAAATTCTCGCTTCCACACGAAACCATGACCGTACAAAGAATCTACATAGTAATTTGGGCATTCTCCTCTATTGTAACATTTTTTTAAACAAACTCAACACTGTTATAGGAGAGGTAGCGAGGGCGTGACATTAGTGCAGCGCGTACATTCGATGTTAAAAGCGTGACTTGTCGACTGTGCTGTGATTATATGGTCGATTGTCGCCTACGTCGTGCGGAAACGGTTCGCTTTCGAGAACACTTCGCACCATTGTCACTCTTGCAACGTGCATATGACACGCAACGGACAAATAACAATAACAAAATTGATATCGCTATCCACTTCAATCTTTAAATATTAAATTGAAATTCTAGTGAAAAGTATGAAGTAGCTTAGCATGTTTAAGATGTAGTCATTCGTTTTAATACTACAAATTCTTAGGCATTTAACACAAAAAAATATTTTGTTTCATATAAAACTTATACTCATATTTATTTGAATTTTATTTAATATGGGATACTCGGAAACCAATTTAACTAAATACATCTTATAAAAATATGGTAAATAAGAAGATTTATAAGCACTTAGATTAAAAAAAGGCTGCCTGACATTCCGGATATAATGAAAAGGTGTCAGCGTGGCATCAAATATAGTTTGTTGGAAAGTTGTCGGCGGCGTCGATCGCTTGCCAAATAAAAATATCTTAATTGTGATTACAGCAGCACAGTCTGCTTTATAAGGGGCTAGTAACCCAGTGGCCGAATGGGATCACGTGGTCACCAATTGCTCTGCCACTGCGCCGCCACCGTTCGCCGGCGGACAGGCCATGCGTGTTATGTAAGCGCGAGCTGTAAAACATTTCCAGCTTTCTCGCTCTTCCTATCTACCACATAGGGCTTATATTGTTTTGTTGTGATCTCAATGAATGGCCACTACATCTGCACAGATGAGAAGTTATATTTAAAACGTTACGTGTTGTACAGCACTCATCTGAAGCAATGTTAAGGTTGAATTCCAAAATGCGTGCGTCACAATTACAGGCGTGCATGTGATAATACTGGATGTCCATTGCACAGCAAGTTAAACGATTAATATCGATTTTTATACTTAAATACCTCATAAAATAATGTAACATATTAATGATAAAAAGCATCAAATTTTCTAACATACAGTATGTACGTATAGCATAAATAAGTTTTTAGTTGTATAACAGCTAGAAGAACAGAACAACTCAATTCACCGCCCATTTAGAATACTTTAAAAGACCATATGAATTCACATGAGGTTACAAAATTACCAAAGGTTACATACAAATTACGAGTATGCACATTATATATTACCATTAAATAGATCTTGGGTGTTTCTGTTTGAATTTTTGCAAATCACAGTCAATTTTGAAGTACATATCAAATTTCTGCTAAATTCTAGAAAAAAAAATCTTCGTAAACTAAAATATTTTTAAAGTACTTCTTATCATTCGCGACTCAAGTATCCTGGTGTAATAAGAAATAACCAAAATCAATATGCTTTGAAAAAATTGCGCATTGACAAATTTCACTTGTACATAAAAATGAGATGACGTTTGTTAATCTCATTGAAATTGGAGGTCGAGAAATATTTGTGAAAGTCCAAGGAAGCTTTGAGAGGTTTCAAATATAAACAAATTTAAAGAAAAATAGTAAAAAAAATTTTTTGTTTTATTTTCCCATAAAATCTGTGTTCGTACTTGTCAGAAAGAACGTTAGAAATTATTTTTATTGGACTTTGAATGTTTTGAAGGTGACATATAGCGAAGTCGCGATAAACAGTTAGTATATTATAAATTCCAAAATTAATTTAAATGTGGGTTCCTTTTACTTTGTTATAATATTATTATCTAAGCGAAAATAACTATTTTTTCTTTAAAATATCCATAAAACACTCAAAAAGGGTAAAAGTTTTAAATTCAATGTGCTGTACAATAGGTATATTGCAGTAGTTACATACATTGAAATATTTTCAAACAAAATTATCGATACCTATGAAGTTCGGTTCAAATGGAAAGAAAACTAACCGGTGCTAATGTGTTAGCGTGGGCTAGCCGTCAAAACAACCGAAGTACGTAAACTAGCCGGGTTCTTTACATTGTTTATAACCATCATGAAAGTGAAACAAACACTTACTACATTATCTTTACAATACCGCAGGCCAGCGGTATGATTCTTTAAATCAGATCAGTGAACGCCATTGATGTAAAATAAAATAAAAAATTATAAAGCATTTTTAAGAGACTTGGTCAATTACTTTATTATATGTAAACTAAAATAACTTTGTAATTGCTTGCCCAGTAACAGATAAAAAAGTATTTCCTAAAACAATTATCTGTGATGTGAATACATTAAGCACAACAGAAGTAAATTAACAATAACACCTTATTTAGTAAATGCATTAACATTTAAAGTCCAACGAGCGTCGATTGCGTGACGGGATTGATAATGCATAATTCCACTGAGATAATATGATCATCTACAAATACAGATCGTCGAGGAAGCGTGAGTATAGGTGTATTATGAAAGATATCTCATTCGATTTCTCCATTTTGTTCCACTTACCTCTATAGTGTCTTTGTGAAGAAATGATAAAGGATTCTACCTTTAGCATGAATATTAAACTTCAGAGTCTCAAGGATTTTATTATTAGGTATATTTCACTCGGAAACAATAAAGGTGCCTATCGTCTACAGTGTATTTACCTACAAGTACTTTTTGATGAATTATGCAGTCAATAATAACAAAATGAAAGCAACAAAGAAAGTTTTACAGTTATCAACACGCAACACTTACTATCAGTGAAATGTTTTTTTTTTATGATCCATTCACTTAAACTATAGCCAATCAGTGTGAAAAAATTACGTCGGAAAAATCAATAGCAATTTTGTATTCCGGCGTTCCGGAAGAAAAAACGACAGTTTCACAGCCAGTTCATAAAAAAGAATAATCCAATCTCGCTACGCAAGCAATTCAAAAAAAAGAATTAGTACTTTGCAATCATCATAACTGGGATGAATTTTGAAACAAGCTGACAAAAATAAAATATTATTCTTGATATGTATATTAGATTTAATTTGATTTAATAGTTTTCTTCCTTTTATTTTATTTATTAAAGCATTAGCATATCAGCAGCTGC